CGGCTTCCACAGGGCTGGCTAAAGTGCTGGTGCCTGGGAGGGGGCTGGGGGTGCCTTCTACAGCCGTTGCTGCCCCTGGGGGCTCTTATTTGAGGACAGAGTTGATGAGCAGCTGACAGGCCAGGAAGACGCAGAGCAGCACCCAGGAGCGGGGGTTCTGCAGGAGGCCGGGGGGCGGCAGGCGTGGGGCCCGAACGGTGTAGTTCAGCATGGCCGAGAGGTGCCTGCAACACAGGCTGGGGATGTATTGAGGCCCCCACCCTCTTCTGCTCCCACAGGCGGGAGGGGGCCTCTGGGAGCCCGACCACGTGCTGGACAAGGGGAGGTGGACGGGCAGGGAGACCTGCCTTCCGGGCGCATGTCCCAGGCACGCATTCGGGGAAACGGAGACTCAGGGGTCAGGAGTCAGGCCTCTGCTCCTCCGTGCCGCCCGCCTGGAATCTCACCTCATTTGAGGTCCATGAGGGAAGTTTGTGGTGCCCTCTGCTCAGCAGGGAGGCACCTCTCCTGTGCTGGTGACCCCTGTGGCCTCCTGCTGGGGTATCCTGGCCTCTCTACCCCGAATCCTGCCTGGGGTGGGGGAGGGTCCCAGCACCCCGGCCCTCCTGTCTGGTCCACCACCACTGTCTCCGGGTGTCTCTGACCCTGAGCCCAGGGTGCGGGTAGGGGGTCCCGGCACCCCTGCCCTCCTGCCTGGCCCACCTCCACTCTGTCTGGGTGTCTGACCCCGAGCCCTGGGTGCGGGTGGGGGTCCCGGCACCCCCCTCACCTGTGCAGCTCCTGCTGAGCCTCGCGGACAGACAGCACGACCTCGTGCAGCGTCTGCAGCCGCCCTGCCTCCTTCCTGCATCGCGTGCATGGGCTCCCGCAGCCTGAGCCGGACGGGAGGACGGGGCGGGGAGGGGGTGAGCTGATGTCCAGGGTCTGGCAGGGGGCGTCTCAGGGTCCCACCTGGCTCAGCCCTGCCCCCCTCATGTGAATCCTCCAAGATAAGGAGATGGGGGAGGAGGGAGTGTTTTCAGAGACCCTCAGGCTCCACTGGCCTCTAAACACCCCGGGGTCCAGGAATGGGCAGGGCGTACAGCACCGCCTCAAGTGAGGGCAGAGGGCACTCAGGCAGAAGCACAAAGGAACAGAGGGTCACAGGCAGAGGGATGCCGTCGGCCCTGCCTCTCCCACTCTGCCCCTGCCAGCTAAGAAAGGTGACCTCACCTGAGCACAGGGCTTGGGAGCCCCTGGCCTGAGTGTTTCCCTTCTTGGAGAGGGCGGGCCCCTGTCAGCCCTGAGAGGACATCAGGGTGTGGCAGGGAGAAGCTTCCTGCCCGTGGTCCTGCCCCACACCTGGGATGGTACTTCCTGGGACCTCCCCTTCCTCCCAGAGGCAGGAGGGTATCTGCAGGGGGGCTGTTCTCCCCTCCTTACCTCCCCTCCCCATCAGGTCAGCCACCACCTGTCCCAGACAGGCTCACCTGGAACAAGGTCTCGGTCCTCGTCCGAGAGCTCCGGGCAGGACTCGGGCGTGGAGCCGCTGCTCTCGGTGGTCTGGCTGTGGCCGGATGGCTGGTCACTGGCCTTGCGGAGCCAGCGGGCGGGGCCAGGCCCCTGCAGAGGGGGGAGCCTTGGTAACTAGGACTCCACTGTCACCACCTGCACTGCCCCGAGGCCCACGTGTCCCTCCCACCACGGAAGGTCGCATCGAGAGGCCCGAGAGCACCCAGGGAACAGACGACGGCCACCCTGGGCCTGGCGGACTGGTGTGCTAATCCAGGACGGTTCTAGACGGATCAACATGCAGGGAAGGACGCTGTTGGGCTAGACTTGGACTCACGCGGTGCGAGCCCCAGCCCTGGGGGACTGGGAGGTCACTGCCCCTGCTAAGCCTCAGTTTCCCCACTGGTGACCCCCATCTGCAGGGGTGAGGGCTAGCACCTGGAGACCAACCCACCCTACTCTACCTGGGTTGTGGCGCCCTATAAACACAGAGATGTCAGCGGTGGCGGTGGGGAAGGTATTGACAGGAACCTGGCTCTGCAGGGCCTGAGGGCCGATCAGGGACCTTGGTAATCCGTGAGCTAAAGAATGCCACAGAAGCTTCTAGAAGGCTACAGCCCCCAACAGTGAGCAGGGGACCCCAGACCCAGCCAGCCTCTAAAAGCCCCAGGTCCAGAAATGGCTGGGGCGTGGCTACCCTCTGGACAGGACACAGAGCAGCAGCTAGAGTTAATGAGCGGCTTCTCCAGACACGCCCTCTCTGCCCGCCCACCAAGGCACCTGCCTCTGGATGAGGCTGATCCGAGAGGTGCAGCTCAGCGGCGGGCGGACCCGCCACCTGGTGGCTACTGCTGGCATGACAGCGGTTCCCAGCCCCACGGATGGGGACCATCTAGGCTTCCCTGAAAAGCCACACCTTGGAGCTTGTCCAAGTTGCTTACCTTCTTACTCCCCCCTGGAGCCTCCCTGCCTCTCCTGCCCTTTCCAGGCCCAGGTGGCTGTGCACATCCTGGCCCTCCCCTCCCCTGGGCAGGCCTCAGTTTCCTCATCTGCATGATGGGAAAGTGTGCTACTAACACTGCCGAGAGCCCTTTGGGGAGCAATGAGGGGGGGCCAGCAACCCCCTGGCCCGATCAGGGGTCCTCTGCTGGGCAGGAAAGGGTAGGGGCGAGAGGAGGCCCTGCTGAGGAATGGGGGTGAAGGTGTGCAGAGGGGACCGAGGGCTGAGTCACGAAGGGCAGTGCTCAGTCAACTCAGTGGTGGCCCTGGGGCCAGGGGCTGACCTTGTGCCTGGGCCCTGGGCTGCACAGGAAGGGGGTCTGGCGGGGCACGGCCGCCCTCCGCAGGGTGTGCAGGATCCCGTCTTGCTCGAACTGTGTGATGTCCTTCACTGGGTCCCAGGGGCTGAGGCTGGAAAAGCCAGAAGGCAGTGTCAGCAGAGGCGGCAGCCCTTGGGATGAGGGGCTCCCGTCCCAGCCCTCAGCCTCCCAGCAGCCGTCAGAGCCCTTGGGCGTGGCTGGGCTGTGCACCCCCCAGGAGAGATGTTATGGGCACACCCTGTGTGCTGTACCATGGAAGGAACCCCAAGGGAACCCCTGCCACCCCCCCTCCCTCCCCATCCCTCATCCTGCAGGGTGAGGGGCTGAAGTGGGGGGGGTGGGGTGAGGCAGGGGTCCACTGGGTCCAGCCGCGTGGCAGGGACCCCCAGCCCCGCCGGGGCCGCCGCCACACTAACTCCTCATGTTTGTAGCGCCACTCCTGGGTGGCAGGGTCCAGGCGGAACAGCCGCGGAATCCAGGGCGTGAGGGTCTGCTGGCGCTCGAGGGCCCGCCGCCGCTGAGCCTCCTCCAGGGTGAGCTTCTCCTGTGTGGCCCTGTGCTGGTCGCCCTCTCCGATGGCCCTGGTGACATGCTGCCAGAGCCTACAGGGAGGCAGTGGGCTGAAAGGGGCTGGCAGCTCCTGGGGGCTTGGAATCACCACCCTTCGGCACTGGAAGGGCCCCAAGGGCAGCTCAGAGCACCTCTGCTTGGTTGCCTCCCGTGTCAGGGAGCTCACCACCTCGTGGGGCTGTTCATTCATCACAAGACGGCTATTTCCTATGCTGAGCCCTTGTCACCTGCCCATGACAGTCTTGCAGAGCCAGTGGCAGTGGCGGCCCAGAGCCCGCTCTTCTCCAGCACCCGCCCCACTCTCTAGCTGCCCCCCACCCCCATGGGACATATCACCTGCCATGAGGGTCTGGCTGAGGCCACCCTCCCTGCTAGGGGTGCCCTGCGCACAAGCTCAATGGTCGCAAATGCGAGAACCTGGAAAGCAGCCCCTACTGGGCCATGCGGCCAGGGGCAGAGGGTCCCCCCTAAGCGGTCTCACCGCTCAGACTCCAGCTCCGTCTGCTCTTCCAACAGCACCGTGTGCCGCTTCAGCCTCTGCATG